ATCAAATAACTCTTTTTTTTTTTGAGACAGAGTGTCACTCTGTTGCCCAGGCTAGAGTGAGTGCCGTGGCGTCAGCCTCGCTCACAGCAACCTCAAACTCCTGGGCTCAAGCAATCCTCCTGCCTCAGCCTCCTCCCGAGTAGCTGGGACTACAGGCATGCGCCACCATGCCTGGCTAATTTTTTCTATATATATTAGTTAGCCAATCAATTTCTTTCTATTTATAGTAGAGACGGGGTCTCAGTCTTGCTCAGGCTGGTTTTGAACTCCTGACCTCGAGAGATCCTCCCGCCTGGGCCTCCCAGAGTGCTGGGATGACAGTTGTGAGCCACCGTGCCCGGCCCATGAAATAACTCTTTAAGACAACAGGGGAGCATCCCAAAGCCATGCACGCTCCACTGCCAGGTCCACGCGGTGGCCGGTGCCTGCGGTCGGGGCACCGAAGGCCAGCGTCCTGCAGAGAGTGACCGGAGACCCCCAGGCTCCCCTCCCCCACTTTGCCTGATCCAGTGTGTTCACCAGGGTCCAGAAGTCCCTCCGTCTGTCCGGCCAGGGACTTTGCACGCCAGGGCCAGTCCGGAGCCGAAAGGACGAGGGGCCGGCTTGGCCGCTGCGTGTCGGGGAGGAGGTCGTGCTTGCAGAGACCGGCCGGCGTGAACGAGCTCGCGCCTCGGCCCTTTACCTTTTTCTCGGAAAGGCTATGGACCCAGTGGAAACGTAGAAGAGGAAGAAAGCACCTTTACGGACCATTCCTCCAGGGCCCTGCACTGCTCAGATAGGGAAACCGAGGCCCAGAGAAAGAAAGCGAGCCGCTGCTCGTGAGCTGCAGCAGTTCGCGCGGCTGGCGCGGCGCTCAGCGTGGGTTTGCGGGATGAGTGAGCGCTTCCGTCCTTTAACCCCCTGCCTTCTCACCGGGCCCACTTCCACGTTCTAGAGCAGGGGCCCTCGAACTTCTTAAACTGGTGGCTCACGCCTGTCATCCCAGCACTCTGGGAGGCCCAGGCGGGAGGATCGCTCGAGGTCAGGAGTCCGAAACCAGCCTGAGCAAGAGCGAGACCCCGCCTCTACTAAAAAATAGAAAGAAATTAATTGGCCAACTAAAAATATATATATACAGAAAAAATTAGCCGGGCATGGTGGCGCATGCCTGTAGTCCCAGCTACTCGGGAGGCTGAGGCAGGAGGATTGCTTGAGCCCAGGAGATTGAGGTTGCTGTGAGCTAGGCTGACGCCACGGCACTCACTCTAGCCTGGGCGACAGAGTGAGACTCTGTCTCAATAAATAAATAAACAAACAAACAAACAAACAGGGGGGGCAGTTCACCATCCCTCAGACTGTCAGTGCGCACTGTGGGCCCGGGACGGGTCGGCTGCTAAGCAGGACAGGCAGCGGCAGCAAAAACGCCCAGCGGGGCCGGACACATGTGCTAGGCGGGCGGCACGTGGCCCGCGGGCCGTAGTTTGAGGACGCCTGTCCTAGAAGAATGTCTGAAGTTCGGTCCTGGAGAGCGTGTGCCCTTCTCCAAGAGGAGCATAATTGTTGCACACGGTGGTGGTGGTGGTAGGGGGAGACGCGGCCCTTCCCACTCCGTTCTGAAGTGGAGGGAAGAAACAGTGGGCGGAAGTCTTGGGCTCCACCCGAAGAAAACACCTGTCCCCTTTGGATCCGGAAAGCAAACTTTGGCTTAGTTTTAACCCTTTGCACCCGCTCGCTTTCCTGCCATCGTGCCCTGGGCCTTCTCCGCACCCGACACTCGAGTGCAAAGGAATAGGTTGCACGAGCCCCCCCTCCACGGCGGTGCACGGCAGCGAGCTGGTGGAGAACCCCCCGGAGACCCCGGGGAGGCCAGGGGCGGGCCGTGCAGGGAGGCCGGGCCTTCCCGAGACTCGGGACATCTCGGCAATGGAGCGTCTTAACTGTCTTCGAAGTCCGGTTTTCGTTCCCACCAGGGAGCTTGGCCTTACTTTTCCCCCGGAACTCATTTCCTCCTCAGCCATCGGGACGATTTGCCGTGCAATAGTGGACAACCCACAGTGGGATGGGGGCGGCCACTTCCATGACGGTGCAGGTGGGTGCTCCGGACGGGCTGCCGGGCTCCTGGTGCCGTGTGGACGTTCCCACGCTGGGTGCGGGCAGGAGGGGGGCGTGGGGAGGGGGAGGCCCCGGCCGGAGAGAGCCGGGCTGCTGCCGGGCGGAAGGGGGGCAGGGGGCAGGGGGGCGGGGACCGGCAGAGCCCCGCTGGGTTTGCTGTCCCAGCTGGTGGCCTTCGTGCTGCAGTGCCCTCCCGCACGTCCACTCTCGGCTCCGGGTTCTTCTGGCTGCCCGGTGTCCTCCCGTGGCAGCCACCGTCTGGCCGTGTCTCTCCCGGACCTGATGTCACGGGGGCTTGATGTCGTAGGAGAAGAAGGCCCAGGGTGTGGGTTCCTGCTGCAGATGGCCGCTCCCAGGGCCCCCCCCCCAGGAGAGAACGTGGGGCTTTGACGTCCACCCGTTTCTCCCAGGGCCAGGCTTTTCCTGGGGTCCACACTGCAGGGGCCCAGGCCACGTGGTCTCCTCTCTTCCCAGCCTGGCTGTCCACGATAAAGGTCCTTACCGTGGAGACCTCATCCCCTCGGGCAAACCAGTGCAGACCGTGAGCTGCCTCTGCCTAAACGCAGCCACAAGGACCCCCACCGGGGAGGTCTCAGGCCCACGTGGAGGCCCTGGCCGTGGCCACACTGTGCGCCCCAGCCGGGGCCGGCCCACCACCATGCTCCAGTTTGCCCAGGACCCAATGGGTTCCTCCCAGGCAGGACTTCCAGTGAAGAAACCAACCGTGCACACTGGGACCCGTGGCTGCTCTCCCCCAAGCCGCCCTCCCTCGGGGGCCTGCCACCTTCTTGGGGTTTGTGCATCCAGATGTCTAGAAGGTTCTGCAAGCTGGGGAAGGTTCTGGGAGGAGAGCGAGGGGTCTTGGTTTTCTTTTCCTGTTTTTGTTTCCGGCTCATGCATCCACGTCCTTCAGTGTGGCCAGCAAAAGGGCCCCCTCCCCCACACCCCTCCCCCGGCCAGCACTGTATTTCCCTGCTCATTCGGGATTAGGAAAACAGCTGCCATCATTTTAATTTGTCACCTCTAAGCGCCTGACACAAACGTGAGGGTCACTACAGGGCGTAACTCCTCAGCCGACCGGTGCGGGCAACTTTCTCCTGGTGGCTTGTGAGGGACCTTCGGTGGCTCTCATGCAAGATCCTTCCTTCAGCGTTTGCACATGAGCCGAAGAGGCCCCTGTCGCCGTGCGCACCTGGGACGCCAGACCCTTTTACCAGGTCACGTGACGTCGGCATTGGGGCACAGCTGTCGTGTCTCAGCTGGGAGACCTTGGCACTCAAAGTGTGGGGCTTACGGAAAAAAAATAACCAAAAACCCCGCAATTGACCTGGAAGGAAAGACACAGAGGGAGCATCTCTTTGGCCTCAAGAGAAAAACCGTTTCACTGTTTTCATTTTTTTTTTTTATTTTTTTCTTTTCTGATGTGAAATTGGCCCGTGGCACATCTTGGAAGTTACCGGAGCGAATTCTGCAAACAGAGCGTCCTCTCCTTAAGCCGAGCGTTTATCGTTTCAACCGGCATCTCGCACCTAGCACCGCGCCATCCGGCCACCTTCCGCGCTTACCCGCCCGCTGGCGTTTGGACGCAGGCGAGAGCGTTTGGGAGCTAAAAGGGAAGAGCCCCTCTCCCCCCTTCTCCTCTCCTCTGCCTTGAAATTGTTCCTCCCCTCCTGCCCCCCACGGGGCGGGCCGAGCCGAACTGTTGAGGAGAAGACCCACATCAGTTGGGAGGAGGAGACTGAGTCACCGAATGCATGCGAGAGCCACAGAACGGGTTCCGTGACACCTGAGCTCTCCGGGCTCCGCTTCCTTGCATGGTGCATCCTCTAGAACCCCGCGGCTGCGGGGACCCTGCCGTCCACCTGCTCCGGGAACGCACGCACGCCGGATTCCCAGCCCGGTCAGGCGGCTTCCAGAAAGACAGGATCCCTGTTGGATGCCCATGCAGCTTATGCTGAGTAAATATTGACAAAGTAGTCTAAAGAGCAAACACTTTGACATTTGTAAGGTCCACTGGAAGGTCTTGTATATATTTATACAGCGGGAATGAGCACGGCATACCAATTCCCCTGAACTCGTTCTGACATAATTCCGCCCGGCTGGTGTGTGTGCGTGCCCGGCTGGCTGAGGGCACGCGTTGGGGAGGGGGACAAACGGGGGCCGGGGCTGGAGGTCTCCCCAGCTACCTGTCCCTGGGAAGGGAACTTACTCTGGGCTTTTAGGAGACCTGCTTTTCCAGAAGGAAGAAAGTGAAAAAAAGAAAAAAAAAAAAGCCACAAAACCTTGTTGTCGTCGTTGTTGTTGTTTTAATTTATTGCAATGGATGTGCTTTCTTTTTACTTTGTAAAGAAAAAAAAAGTATCGATGTTTTTGCACTTTTTATTAAAGATTGAGCCTCAAAAATGTAATGGGTAAAAAAAACGCTCGCTTAATTTAAATTGCGAATCTGTCTGTTACGAGATGCATTAGGGGTAAGGAGAAGCCGAAGACGTATTAATTGACAGACAGGAACTGCTGTCTCTGAGGTTGATACAAGTAATTTATTACTTTAGAAATGAATGCCACCTCCAGAATGTGCTTCATTAATTTCAAATTTAGTTTTAATTTCAAGCTGTTGCCCCTTGAGAAGAATAAGGTGCAAATTATGTTTGAAGAGCAGATTTTTTTTTTCTTTTTCTTTTCTTTTTTTTTTTGCTCCAAAGAAACACCACATTTTAGCTGTTTGGTTTTACAAATCCATGTGCCATGTGCCCATCTAGTTTGCTGTGTTTTCCTGAGAGCCAGGAACCTATTCTCTAAGTAAGAGATCCATACTTACTAATGCTTTTTTTTTCTCTCTCTCTCTCTCTCTTTCTCCCCTTCTTTCTCTCCTACCTGCCTCGATTTCCCTCCCGCGACCACCCCGGCAGCCTACGTTTCCGACGAGCTCAAGGCCGCCGCCCTGGTGGAGGAAGACCTGGACCCGGAGGGGCACGCTGCAGATGGAGAGCCCTCGGCCAAGTACCTGTGCCCGGAGAAAGAGCTCGCGAAGACCTGCCCCAGCTACCAGAACTCCCCTGCGGCCGAGTTCTCCAGCCACGACATGGACAGCGAGTCCCACCTCAGCGAGACCAGCGACCGCATGGCCGACTTCGAGAGCGGCTCCATCAAGAACGAGGAGGAGACCAAGGAGGTCCCCGCCCCGCTGGAGGACACCACCGTGCCGGACAGCCTGGAGCAGATGAAGGCCGTGTACAACAACTTCCTCTCCAACTCCTACTGGTCCAACCTCAGCCTCAACCTGCACCAGCCCTCCTCGGACAAGAACAACGGCAGCAGCAGCAGCAGCAGCAGTAGCAGCAGCAGCAGCTGCGGCAGCGGCAGCTTCGACTGGCACCAGAGCGCCATGGCCAAGACCCTGCAGCAGGTGTCGCAGAGCCGCCTGCTGCCCGAGCCCAGCCTCTTCAGCACCGTGCAGCTGTACCGGCAGAGCAGCAAGCTGTATGGCTCCATCTTCACGGGGGCCAGCAAGTTCCGCTGCAAGGACTGCAGCGCCGCCTACGACACCCTGGTGGAGCTGACGGTGCACATGAACGAGACCGGGCACTACCGGGACGACAACCACGAGACGGACAACAACAACCCCAAGCGCTGGTCCAAGCCCCGCAAACGCTCCCTGCTGGAGATGGAGGGGAAGGAGGACGCCCAGAAGGTGCTCAAGTGCATGTACTGCGGCCACTCCTTCGAGTCCCTGCAGGACCTGAGCGTGCACATGATCAAAACGAAACACTACCAGAAAGTGCCTCTGAAGGAGCCCGTCACCCCCGTGGCCACCAAAATCCTCCCCGCCGCCGCCGCCGCCGCCCGGAAGAAAGCCTCCTCGCTGGAGCTGGAGCTCCCCAGCTCCCCAGACTCCACGGGCGGGACCCCCAAAGCCGCCCCGGTGCCGGCGGACGCCGGGGACTCGCTGCAGAAGGGCTCCAACCCCTACATCACCCCCAACAACCGCTACGGCCACCAGAACGGGGCCAGCTACGCCTGGCACTTCGAGGCCCGCAAGTCGCAGATCCTCAAGTGCATGGAGTGCGGCAGCTCCCACGACACCCTGCAGGAGCTTACGGCCCACATGATGGTCACCGGCCACTTCATCAAGGTCACCAACTCGGCCATGAAGAAGGGCAAGCCCATCATGGAGACGCCGGTCGCGCCCGCCGTGGCCACGCTGCTGGACGAGAAGGTGCAGTCCGTGCCCCTGGCGGCCACCACGTTCGCGTCCCCCTCCGCCACGCCCGCCAGCGTCTCCCCGAAGCTGAGCGTGGAGGTCAAGAAGGAAGCCGACAAGGAGAAGGCGGCCGCGGCCGTCCCCGACGAGAAGCCCAGGGAGAAGGGCGGCGAGGAAGAGGAGAAGTACGACATCTCCTCCAAATACCACTACCTGACCGAGAACGACCTGGAGGAGAGCCCCAAGGGGGGCCTGGACATCCTCAAGTCCCTGGAAAACACAGTGACGTCCGCCATCAACAAGGCCCAGAACGGCACCCCCAGCTGGGGCGGCTACCCCAGCATCCACGCCGCCTACCAGCTCCCCAACATGATGAAGCTGTCCCTGGGCTCCTCGGGGAAGGGCGCGCCCCTGAAGCCCGTGTTCGGCAACGGCGAGACGGGGACGCCCGCGAAGACCCCGGCGCTGGTGTCTCCCGCCGGCAGCCAGACCTCCCCCATGCCCAAGGCTAACTTCCACGCCATGGAGGAGCTGGTGAAGAAGGTCACAGAGAAGGTCGCCAAGGTGGAGGAGAAGGTGAAGGAGCCGCCGGACGGCAAGCTCTCTCCGCCCAAGCGGGCGACGCCGTCCCCCTGCAGCGGCGGCGGCGAGCCCGGCGAGCCCGTCAAGATGGAGGCCTGCAGCGACGGGGGCTTCGGGAGCCAGCAGGGCAGCCCCAGCCCCCAGCGGGACGGGGCCAAGGAGGGGAGCCCCCCGGCAGAGCCGCTGGAGAACGGGAAGGACCTGGGGAAGCCTCTGAGCGGGGGCTTGAGCGGCAGCACGGCCATCATCACCGACCACCCGCCCGAGCAGCCGTTCGTGAACCCGCTGAGCGCCCTGCAGTCGGTCATGAACATCCACCTGGGCAAGGCGGCCAAGCCCTCGCTGCCCGCCCTGGACCCCATGAGCATGCTCTTCAAGATGAGCAACAGCCTGGCCGAGAAGGCGGCTGTCGCCACGCCGCCGCCCCTGCAGCCCAGGAAGGCGGACCCGCTGGACCGCTACTTCTACCACGCGGGCAGCGACCAGCCCATCGACCTGACGAAGGGCAAGAGCGGCGACAAGGGCTGCCCCTTGGGCGCGGTGCTCTTGTCACCCGCCTCCGCGGCCCCGGCCACCTCCTCCTCCTCCTCCTCCTCCTCCGTGGCGGCCACCGCGGGGAAGACCTCGGCCGTCGTGTCCTTCATGTCTAGCTCGCCGCTCCGCGAGAACGCCCTGTCCGACATCTCCGACATGCTGAAGAACTTGACGGAGAGCCACGCGTCCAAGTCCTCCACGCCTTCCAGCGTCTCCGAGAAGTCCGACGTGGACGGGGCCACGCTGGAGGAGGCGGAGGAGGCCACGCCGGCGCAGAAGCGGAAGGGCCGCCAGTCCAACTGGAACCCCCAGCACCTGCTGATCCTGCAGGCGCAGTTCGCCGCCAGCCTGCGGCAGACCTCGGAGGGCAAGTACATCATGTCGGACCTGAGCCCCCAGGAGCGCATGCACATCTCCCGGTTCACCGGGCTCTCCATGACCACCATCAGCCACTGGCTGGCCAACGTCAAGTACCAGCTGCGGAGGACAGGCGGGACAAAGTTCCTCAAAAACCTGGACACGGGCCACCCCGTGTTCTTTTGCAACGACTGTGCGTCCCAAATCAGGACTCCTTCCACCTACATCGGCCACCTGGAGTCACACCTGGGCTTCCGGCTGCGGGACTTGTCCAAACTCCCCACCGAACAGATCAACAATCAGATAGCACAGACCAAGTCTCCGTCAGAAAAGCTGGGGACGTCCTCCCCGGAGGAGGACTTGGGGACCTCCTATCAGTGCAAACTTTGCAACCGGACCTTTGCGAGCAAGCATGCCGTGAAGCTCCACCTCAGCAAGACACACGGGAAGTCCCCCGAGGACCACCTCCTATATGTCTCCGAGCTGGAGAAGCAGTAGCGTCTGCTTCCGGCCGGGCGCGGCGGCGGTTTGGGCGGAGGGAGGCAGTGGCGGGCGGGCGGGCGGGCAGGCACCTTAGGGGCCCCTCTCTGACTTGATCTTGGCACATGCTCTTATTTTAACTGCAGAGGGTCATTCCGGGCTGGGCGGTTTTGTATTAACTGTACAGTGTTTTAATAGAGGTGCATACTCAGCTGTTGTTACTGGTAAACTATGAAGGTTTTAAAAAAAAAAAAATGCAGTGGTTAAGTGTCTGGAACTTTGTGTACATGGGATTTAGTTGTGAGCGTCCAGCGGGGTACTTCGAGCTGCATGCATTAACAGACAGTTTAATTAAGCATTTATAACGGAACCGGGCGCACTTTTCTCCGCGACGCTCGGGTGTGCCCGCATTTCTCACCCTCTCATCTTTAGCCCTCTGAGTACTTTGAAGCACTTTTGCATTGATTTGGTTAAAAAAAAAATAATGATAATAAAATGAAATGATAATGATGTATGAAGCTCTGTTTTTTAAGGTCCTGACCAGCTTAGTTATAATTAATACTATGAACCTCCATTTATGCAGGTCTGCAGGGGTATGTATACCACGCCTTGAAATTTAAAAGAATATTATTTTCACATTGAAACATAGATGTATATATTGTATAGATTTCAGACTCTCTTATGGAAAAAAAAAATGTGATTGTGGTTCAAATGACCTTTTTTTCTTGCATTTATAACAACAGTGTTTTTTTGTATCTGCTATGCTCTGGGCATAAGCCGTGCCTATGTATAGTGTATATTTCTTTTACTTTACGTTTTTTTTTTGTTTTTTTTTTAAGATCTATGGTTTTTTTTTTTTTTACATGCAAACATTGTAAATTATACAAGAAGATAACCACAGATAGCATTTATAAAATATACAGAAACATTATCTGAAAGCAAAGTACGATTGTTTGTTTTTGCTATACAGTACATCTATATTGATAGAGGTTCCATGTTTAAATTATACATATTTATTAGCATCCTCTTTATCATTTGTTTCGAGCAGTCTGAATCAACGAGGCCGGGAGAAACACCCCCTGGCAGGCAGCAGCCTACATGACTATTTTGCACATGATTTTTACGAAAAGGTATTTATTAGAAATCAAAGAACGCTCAAAATGAACTCAGTGCTCAAAGGGTTAAGTCTATTTGAAAAGGAAAACTGGGGGGCGGGGGGAGGGGGGCGAAGAGAACAAAAACAAAACAACAACAACAACAACAACAAAAAAAGAACTTGTACTGTATTTCCTAAACATTGATAAAGCCTTTAAAAATGTTTGTACTGTAATACTTTGCTTAAAAGTCACAAGGCATTCTGTGGTACAACCTGTCTCACTTATTTATAAGCCCTTTCGGTTGCTCTTCCAATACTGCCGGATGCCTTTTCGTTTCGATTGGTAACTTTCTGTTTTGTTCTTCCTAATTATCCTCCCAAGATGCCACACTGCACAGCTTTATCTTTAGGCTCATGAAAAAGGTAACCCGTGGTTACCAAGCTCTCCGAGCGGTTCTGTTCTCCTCCATTTCTGGCAGTTAATTTGCAGAAGTAACTGACAGCTGACACCATATACGAGAACCTATGTATAAAATATTGGCATGTAAACAGCAGAGACACGCGCTCCTCCGTGCCCCGTTTCGTTGTTGACAATGAAGCTCCATTATGTGACTCTTCCTTATAACCCCCTTTTTTTTTTTTCCTACGGCAGCAGCATTAAAATCGTCTCTTTTTTTTTTTGCTATATAATTTTGTGGTTGCGTCTCACGATTATGTCTGAAATGTGCTCCGGCTAACGAGCGCATTAAAACGGAATTGTGTGCGATGTGTTTATGGCGGAGCCGGTCGCCGTGTCTGCCAGGTGCTGGCGGTCGGAAGCCGCGCCGTAAATCAGGGGAGTTTCAGTGAACTTTGGCGTGGGGGGGGTGGAGCAGGGAGCACTGCACCCGGAGTTTGGATTTCCACCAAGAATTAAAAACGTTAAGGAAAAGGAAGCCGTGCACCTGAGCTTGGCTCTGCGGAAAGGGGACGAGATAAGATACTGAGTGTCGTCAGGACTTCCGGTCACACCTGGTGGCCCTCGTGGGGAGGGGAGCGGGGGTGGGGGGGTTCCATCTCCCTTCTGGGTGCAAAGCAGTTGGGAGCCCCAGACTGTTCCGGAGCCCGATGGGGGGGTGGGGGAGCGAAGGGTCTTCGGAAGGGCGATTCCTTCCTGTCGACTCAGGATTCTCGGGTCTCAGAAAGCAGAACCGAGCTGGGCAGGAGGACTTTGGGGACCACGGAGGGCTCTCTCTCTCTCCCGTGCTAGGGACCAGAGGCAGGAGGGGGGTTGCGGGGGGGGGGATGGGAGGAGCCCGCGCCCATCCATGGGAGGAGGGGGAGCATTTATATGATAATCACACGCTTTTATTAGCCTCGGCAAATCATGCCAACAAAACGCTGGGAACATCATGTAAAATTGTAAAATACCTTTATTACTCTATTCAAACTCCTCTTGCCGTTGTGCGGAATTGTAGCTCCTAACCTAGAATTATACAAATGAGAGATGTATTACATCCGTGTAACACATAAAACACCTCGACTTTAAAAAAAAAAAAAAACACTCTTTTATTAAAGATTTAAATGAAGCCCTTTCAGAGGCGTTCGGAAGCACACCTACGGTTTTCCCCGCTGGTACCCGCCCCCTTTTGTCAAGACGAGTCCAATTTCTCTGTCTCCTCTCTTCTCCCTCTCCCTCGCTCGGTATTCCGTCTCCCTCGGGGTTTTTAGAGAGAACCTCACGGGAGTGTCACCTGGGTTTTTGGGGGGACTGGAGTGTTGGAGTAGCCACGCTCTCTCGCCTAGTGACTCGGGCCAGGTCGGCGGGCAGTGAGGACCGCACCTGCCCTCCGGAGTCTGCCTCGTGCCCACCTGCTCCAAGGCCCGGGTCCCCCCCTCTGAGCAGGTCTTTACCTGGGAGGGGCTGACGGCCACATACACCCCGTGGGGGGCCCTGGCTCCCCATCCACCCAGGACCTGGCTCGGGGGACACAGACACCCCCTACCTCCCGTGCCTTTCTTCACATCCCGGAGCCCAGATTTCCACTCTCGGATTTCTTCACAGGTTAAATATAGCATCGGTTTATTAGAATCCAAAGTCCTGCATCGAACAGATTAAACTGACAACACTTCCGTCACCACCGGGGGCCGTGTGGCCTGTAGGGAGGCGGGATCCGTACGAGTCACGGCGGAACCTCCCCCAGGACGGTTTGGGAGAGGGGCCGGGCGCGCTGCCCGTCTGCTCCTCACCTCACTCCCAAGGTGACCCGCTGGGCTTTTCAGTGCGGGGGTGACGGGTGACCATTTACAGTCAAGGTAAGGTGGCAGGTTCGAGGCTCCTTTGACACACCTTGGGCTCCTGTAGCCAGGGAAGGGCTGGTCACAGTCATGGGATCCAGGAATTTATGTTACCTCCGGGGAATCCCAGGACCTGGGCGGTTAGTGGGGGCCCCAGACACAAATGCAAACCTCGTTTTTGCAAAAGGACTATCCCCTACTCCAGGAGTCCTCAAACTTTTTAAACAAGGGGGCCAGCTCACCGTCCCTCAGACCGTTGGAGAGTGCGCACCGTGGGCCCTGGGGCGAGTCGGCTGCTAAGCAGGACAGGCAGCGGCAGCGGCAAAAACACCAGGAGGGCCGGATGAATGTGCTAGGCAGCCCGCATGTGGCCCTCGGGCCGCAGTTTGAGGACGCCTGCCCTAAACCACGTGGCATGGGTTGTGTGTGTGGCTGGTTGGGGTCCTAACACTACTTGGAAATTCAGAGCCGTTTTCTCCTGAGGTCGCCAGACCCCCGCCTGGCTAAAGAGTGTGTGTGCTACTGCCTGGAAGAGCCTTCCACCCTAAACCAGCATGGCCCCAATTTCCCCGAGATGAAAACGGGGAGCTCTAGAAGTGCACCCCAAGTCTATTGTAGTTGTGCGCAAGTTCTATGGCTGATGTCAGCAGGGAACGTGAGTGGTGGGAGGAAGGAAGCCGTTGTCCAAGGCAGGTCTCTAGATGGGTCCAGGGGGGAGGAGGGGCATGTTGCTACGTGAGGGAGGTTTTAATCCCAGGTGTGCAAGTGACCCTCACCTCACCCCGCCCATGCCCAGGCTTGCTGTATGTCTTCCAGCCATCACATTTACGTAGTATCTTAAAATAACATTTGTGATAAATGTGCAATTTTAACTAATTTATGGTGCTATGATGTGCTCAGGGCTACATGCAAGATGAAAATCTTAAATGGAGCTTGAACAGCTCACTTCACAACAAGAAATCAATATGCCACATCTTAGCTATTTGCTGCAGTCAACATTTAGCAAAAAAAAAAAAAAAAATCAGTGATGTATCTTTAAGTTTTAGGGCAGCACGGATGCTATAATTATCCCCAAATCTTAACACGTAAGTTCAAGGCGATTGGCTACAACAAGGACCCCAATCTTCCCGGCATCTCCGTTCTATTTTCATTCTGCAATAGGGGAAAAAAAAAAATATATATATATATATATATTGATAAGCACCAGACAGCCCTTTCTCCCTGGGGTACCCTGCACTCCTGGTGGAGGTAGTTGTCCAGGCAGAGCTGAGGGAAGCAGGAGGCATCCCTGGAAGGGTTCCTTCCCTCAAGTTCTCAGCAGTCCAGCCAGGTGGCCTTCACTGCCCCCAAACTGACCGCCTCCCGGTCCCCAGCCTTGGTGACAAAGCACCTGAAGAGAGAAAAGGCTGCCCATCTCCACCTTGAGAGAGAAGGATTCTGAAGCTGGGAAACGTGAGGCTGGCAGAGACACGGGAGCTGCTGGGAATCGGGCTGCACTGTGAGAACTATTGTCTCTGGAGATTTCCAAGTCATCTGATTAAAAAAAAAAAAAAAAAAAAACCAAAAAAAAAAAAAAAAAACCTCAGATGATTTTATTTCATTTTATTTTTTGAATGCATCTCTGCAGTTCTTTTGAAATCGGAAAATTGCAATCGAGTTTCCTTCTTTTGACTACGTAGC